CGAAACAAAAACCCTAAACCCTGAACCCTAAAACTTCATACCTGAACCCTCCTAAGCCGTATATCAGAACCCTGAACCCTAAAGCTTCAAACCTAGACCCCCTCTCCTAAGCCGTATATCAGAAAGCCGCATCCAAGGGCCCCTTGCAAGAGCCTCCAGGTTGATCGCACCGTCGCCCGAGAAGTCCATGGTCTGGAACAGCTTCTTCACCTGGCACCACATAACCCAAAAAAAAACCAAAGAGGATAAGATTCCCTCCTAGTAAGGTTAGGGTTCGGGGTTTAGGGCTTAGGGAACCTGAAGAGGAGAATAGCATAGGGACCAAAATAATTGCCCATACCATGCTTGGGAGTTCTTTATCATACTATAATGGGCCCCCGGACCCTATTCTAATTGTTGAAGGCCCCTATAGTATTCCCTCCTACTAAGGTTAGTGTTCAAGGTTTGGGGTTTGGGGAGCCTGAAGAGCATAGTGTTGGGGTGCAACAAGGCGGTGAAAATCCCACGAGGGCATGTTGGTGCCTTGTCGGGTGTTGTAAGGATGTAGGAATAATCAATCACAGTATCCCGCTCGAGTCTCTTCTTTATGGGCAGTTTTCTAAACTAGTCCCTTTTAGGGTCCTTTTGATACGAGTGCCATACTATTTGGGAGGGACCCTAATTTAGAGAACTACCCCATATAATTGTCCTGCAAAACCGTACTCCAATCACTTCTTGTGAAGAGGCTGGTATCCCTTTGCATTGAGAGCTTCTGGGTGGTTTTTTTTTAACACCTTTTTCCGACTGCCGGAACTGTTGGAGAGCCCACAGGGGACAGGCTTCGGTAGGGAGCTTCAGGGTTTAGGGTTTCAGCACTCACAACTGGGACAAGCCTGGCGAGGTTCCAGGGTTTAGGGTTTAAGGTTTAGGGTTTAGGGTCTAGAGCCTGAGGTTCAGGGCTTCTGAGATGTTCCATGCGTTCTGCACCTGGCAAATACGCCCCGAAAACAACACCACACTCTCCAAAGCCTTTTCTAGAACCCTTGAATACAATGAAAGCACTTGTGGCTTACACCTTCCGCTTAGCAGAAAACAACAAGAACAAGGCTCGAAGGGGCAGGGCAGATCCCGAGTGTGCACAGTCCCGCGTGAGGGAAGCCTTTTTTGTCAAATCGCTTACACTAACCCCAAAACTTGCCAGTCTTTCTTCCGTGGTTTGGGGCGAGGATACGACCCTGAACCCAAACCTGTGTAAGGATTCGGGGCTTGCGGTTGCGGGATAGTAGTCCTAAACCCGAAAGATCTAATCGATTCCAAATCCTGCTTCAACCAGGCATGACCCCCAAACCCTAACCCCCGAATTACGGTTTCGGGTCTCTGTAGGCGGCCTTGTTCGCGTACAGGGCAATATCCTGACATCTCAGAGCGCAAGTTCCGGACTTCTTTGATTTGGGGGATTAGGGTTGGTTTAGGGCTTAGGGTTCAGGGTAGGGGCTAAGTTCTGTAATCGTGTCGCCTCCTCAACCTTATGCTCATAATACCCCCCAATACCCTCCACAAGGCTGCTAGTGATACTGTTCTGGGCTCTTTTAGGTGCTGGGCCCAGGTCTAGGGTTGTGGCTTTAGGTCTGGAGAATTTGGGGATTTCGGACTTTTTCGTGTGGGGATTTGGGCTTGGGGTTTCTGTCTTGAGGCCCCCCCTCTCCCTGGAGCCCTGTACCCTCAATCAACTCTAATATAGGGGCCTTAATAATTAGAATAGGGCTTTGGGGGGAGCATTGTTCTATATTTTATAATAATTGAGGAACCCCCCAAAACAGTATAGGTAATGATTTAAGCCCTTACATTACCCTCAACCCTACATCCTGCACCCTAGACCTTGTAACCTAAACCGTCCCACTGTACGCGCAAACCTAAACCCCGTAACTGCACCCTAAACCCTAAGCCCAATCCCCAACAGTGAGGCAAACCTCAAACGAATGACCTAAACTAGCCCTAAACCCAACCCCCAACGACCCGCAAGTACGTACCTGTATAGAAACCCATGAAGCCCGAGCATATACTGCAAAAAACACTCACGAAGACAAGCCCTACAGTAGGGGCCTTGATAATTAGAAAAGGGTTTAGGGCTCCTCATAGTATATTCGTAACAAGGGGCCCTAACCATAATCTTGGTGACTTATTTTCGGCTTCTATAATACGCCCTAAGAGCGCCCGGTCCTTCTCCTTGTTCTTGAAAGCCAGCTCGTCGTCGGAGCTGGCTGTCTGGCCACAGGGCGACAGCTCTGAGGCTTGAAAGGCTTCGGGATTTAGGGTCTCGGACCATGTAGGATTTTGGGTGTAGGGTTTAGGACTTTCGGGTTTCCGATGTAGGCCCTAAACTCGACCTCCTAGACCCTGCACCCTAAACCCTAACCAGCGTTGAGCTTCCCTCACAGCTGTTTTTGGGGGGAACCTCTCGCAAGGAACCCAGCGGCTGCGTGGCACCAGACAAAGAAGTACCCTTGAACCCCGAAGCCTGGATGCCAGCTCTCAAGGTTCAATGACCTTTAACTTGAACCCCCAACCAAGGACACCCAAAAGCGTCAAAAGCATCGAAACCGCAAACCCTAAGTCCAAAAAACAAAAAATGCCTTGAAGGCGAAACCCCAAACCCTAAAAGGACCTATTAACGGTAAGCCCAAGCCTAAAACAACCCTTCAACCCTAAAGCAAAACCTACCGAAAAACACGCAAACCTTTACCCCATACTACCCATAGATTGTCTAAATATTTCAGTGTCGTTTTGAACGAAAATCACTGGGCACCCAAACCCACACGCTGTCCTGCAAAAACTCGAGGTGGACGGGAGAAAGGAGGGGGGGGGAATGACGAGGTGCGTCAGTGAGGGGGGATTGAGCGGAGGGGAAAGAGGGTAAACCCTAAACCTGTCTTGGCTTGAGGGTTGAAGGCAAAGCCCCTGTTCATCAACCCCCTTCCTTTGAAGGTTCCTTCAAGGCTTCTATTAAGGGTACCTACACGGGTTCCATAAGGGCCGACCTTTGGGAATGAAGCTGAAGGGTTTCTGAACCTACATTCGGGTTCGGGCAGGGCTTAGGATTCGGGATGCAAAAATTAACGTTTTCCGCTTTGGGTTTAGGGGTCACGGTTTCAGGCTGAGGCGGTTTAGGATTAGTAGCTGCAAGGCTGCGATAGCCTTCAGGGTCTGTTGCACGAAGATGGCGTTGACCTCTGCTGCTTCATACAAACTGAACCCTTGAACAGTGCATGCGCGTATGATTGTTCCATTCCAAGAGCTGTCAACTTGCACTATTGTACATCTACGACTAGAGCCCCCGGGACCTGCAGATGCCCAGAAAGGATCACAGCGTCGGGCTTATAACTACACCCTAAGCCCTACCTGGACACTAGAAAACCCCCTTTTTAAGGATCTTTATTAGAAATTCTTTATGTAAGACCTCAAAAAGGTAGGTTATTTGGGGTTAAGGTAAGCTCAAGGCCAAAGACCCAGATCCTCAACCTTGAAAAGCCCGTACACCCCTTCAAAAGCACTCACAGCACCGAACCCAAAGATGAAAGACCCCAGAAAGCCCACCTTTTGTAGGGACTTATAGGGAATTAATATTTCGGGTCCCGACCGCGGTAGTTGTATGAGGGTGTTTAGGGTTTAGGGGTCTAAAACCGCAAGACCAAACGCTTCCGAAGGTTAGAAGTATGGGCCCCTCGAGTTGTTTTTTCTGTTTTGACACCTTGTTCCCTGCCTGGGTGTCAGGAACGTTTTAAGGTTGAGGGTTTAGGGTTTGCCAAACCCTAAACTCTAAACCCTGACCCCTTCGGGGAGATTCTAGAGACTCTTCGGGGGGTATGCATAGGGTATGTCGTCAGTATGTACGGGTTTTCGGGTTAAGGGCCCACACGAGGGGCCCCATGTGTTCAACCTTAGACACTCCCAGGCTTGGGGTCTTGAGGGTTTAAGGCTTAAGCTTTCGCAACTCGGTTTCGGCTTCAGGGCCTTTAGGGCTTAGTGGCTCTAGGGCTTTTAAGGTTTAGAGTTTAATAAGGGGTTCCAGGTTCAAGGTTTCAAGGCTTTCGGTGCAATATGGGTTCTCGTCGGGTCTTAGGATCTAGCACAGGGTGTTGCGCCTCAGGGTGCAGTTTAGGGTCTAGGTTCTCGGGTGTAGCAAAAGATATACGAACCTCAAACCCCAGCACCTTAAGATTTGATAGTTGCAGATTACGACCAGGTGGCCACATTGATGACGGCGAAGCCCAAGACGCAGCGGTACCTTTGAGAGCATGGGTCGCTGAAGGATTCCTGGTTGGCTGTTCATGGGTATTTAGAAGTTGGGGTTATAAGTAGGGTAACTACAGTGCAAACCCATGTTAGGGGACCTATGACCCCCCTTGCAACTAGTCATGAGCCTCCTGAACCTCCAAGTGAACCCAGCCTTGAGCTTGTCGACTTGCATGGGCTTAGGATGTACCGTTCTGGGATGTCTACATTTTAGGAGGGTTGCGATTTCAGGCTTTATTCTGGCCAGCACGTCAGGATATAATATGGGATTTCAACCTGAAGGCTTGAGAGCGCGTGAGGACGAGTGGCCAAGATGACGGGCATTGCTCAGAGTTTGAGGTTTAGGGCTTGGGGTTTTCGATGGAAATGGCCAAGCAACACACACCCGAAGCCGAGGCAGGTGGAACAGAGCGACAACCTATGTTCTCTACAACTATGCGACGGTTAGGTTGGTTGGCGAGTTTATGAGCACAACACAGTGTATGCCTTCAACCCAAGAAAAGAGTCTCAAGTGTACCGAGCACCACTACGACATGTGCAAACTGGGGCTCCCCCAGAGCTGTTTTCAGGTTTGGGATGGATTCGGGTTCGAAAGTAGCAACATGTAAAGTCTAGCTGAGGCTTCGGGACCAGCGCCATAAGCCATTTCGGATAAGGGAACACCTCGGGCTTAGGGCAGGCTCAACTGCTATAACCGAGCGCAGACAACTTAGATAAACCAGTAAACAAGAACTCGGTGGAATCGGAGTCGGCTATTGGCTCGTACCCGGGCTCCTTCACGCCCTTTGATCTGTTGACATCCTACACTCAAACTCCCTCATCCCGATAAACCCTGTACCTTACAGGTTAAGCATGTTTCCATCGGAGCTCGCGGTTCAAGCATCGTCAAGCGTCTCTTCGTCTCTAGCATTTGCAGAACTTCCGCGTGGCCTCTTCGATACGCTGACATCGAGGGGCTGACAACGTTTTTTGTGCGAGATCCTGTCGACGCCGACATACAGTAGAAGTCTAGCAATCTCGCCATAACCACACTGATCAGCCAGCATCACAGCAGTGAAGCCGTCATCTGTAGCTCAGAGAGATATTCTTACCGCCTCAAGCTGCCCATGTTGAGATGCCAGCATCAGGGCAATGGTGCCATCAGTGCGGGCCAAGTGCATGTTGCCACCGGCATCAAGAAGCAAACGAGCAATGTCAGCATAGCCCTGCTCAGAAGCTAATGCCAAGGCGGCGACACCCTCATTGTCGCGACCGTTCTTGTGTTGTCGGCACCTGCTTGTTGCAACGAACTAACAATTGCAGCATGCCCTCTTCCAGAAGCCAGCCTCATCGCAGTAGTGGTGCCGTAATTGTGGGCTAAGTTCATGTCGGAACCGGCATCCAACACCAAACGGGCAATGTCAGCATGCCCCTGTTCAGAAGCTGCCGCTAGGCAGTGAAACCGGCATCCAGCAGCAAACGGACAACCGTCGCTTGGCCGGTTTGGCCTTCCAAAGAAACTGTAATCATGGCCGTGGTACCGTCGTCGGAGGCAGCAAGGTCCTTGTCAGCAGCGTCTTCTAGCAATACACGAGCGATCTCTGCAAAGCCTTCTTGCGAAGCCAGTATTGGGGCAGTGGTGCCATCATTGCTGGCTAAGTTCATGTCGGCACCCGCATCGAGTAGCAGCTAGCATCAGCACAATAGTGCCGTCATTGCTGGCTGGGTTAATGCCGGCACCAGCATCCAGTAGTGAACGAGCAATGTCAGCATTGCCATGTTCACAAGCCACTGCCAAGGAGCTTCCGCTTTGCCTTCCGAAGAAGCTACAATCATGGCCGTGGCACCGTCATCGGAAGCAGAAAAGTCCGTGTCAGCACCGGCTTCCAGCAGCAAACGAACCCTGTCAACATTGCCTTCTTGAGATGCTGACCTTAGCATAGTGGTGCGACATCGGCGGCAGCAAAGTAGTTGTGGGCACCAGCTTCCAGCAGCAACCGCAGAATTGCAGTGTGACCTTCTTCAGAAGCTGCCATCAGGGCAGTGCTGCAGTCATTGTCACACAAGTTCCTGTCGGCACCGGCATTCAGCAGTAAATTTACACTTTCCACGTAGCCTTCTTCAGAAGCTAGAATCAAGGCGGTATCGCCGTCGGTGGTGCGCATATTCTTGTCCGCGCCGGCCTCCAGCAACAGAAACAGAACCTCCACATCACCTGCCTGAGAAGCCGCGGCCAGCGCATTTCTCCCCTGCCAATCAACCATGTTCGGGGTTGGGGGCGCTGCAGCATGATCTCCACCTGCAAACCTTTGCAGGCTTCAAGCGTCAGATTTCCCGGGAAGCCCACCAAAACTCAGCGTGTCAATTTTCAGGACCCAGGATCGAAAAGCGAATCTGTGAAGTTCAGGTCGGGCAAAAGAGAATTCAGTAATCGAGCCGTTCGCGGCAGCAGTCACCAGCTCGTCTGCTTGTGTCTGCGTGGCGTCGGAATGGGTAAGCAGGACCAGCTTCAAGTCCAATGGCGAGCTCAACGTGGCAGAATCATCTAGAGTTGTCTGACTCGATTTGGCATGCCATCTAAACCATTCAGCCGCTGCTTCAACGCCCTCACATCAGTCTTCTTCCACCAACGGTACGCTGCCAACTTCCTCCCCTGACAGCATCCTGATGTGCAGCATGGCGGTGGTGGTGGTGGTGGTGGTGGTGGTAATAGTAGTGGCGGTAGCAGTGGTAGTAGTAGTCGTCGTGGTGGTGGTGGTTATTGTCGTGGTTGCATCATGAACAGCATTGCGATTGTGAATGCGACACGTAGATTATTTCAGTCAACCCTTGTCACTGGTAGTTGCTCTGCTAGCATGACCAATCGCAGCAATCTCAATGGCACCTGCGCATGCATGCTGGTGTTCGGGCCGTTGTTTGATGTGAAATGCGGGGAGCCCGAGACCATGAACCCCTAAACAACCTAAATGCCAACTCAAAAAAATCGCTCGAGACTCAGGTCATGCAGACGAGGCACAGCAGGAAGAAGATCGAGTAATACTCGCCAACCTTCAAGCCGGGTTCTTCAAGGGTTTGGCATTTGAGGCTTTCGGGTTTTAAGGTTTAGGGGGTCAGTCAGTTTAGGATTGGGATTTGGGGTTTCGGGTCTACAAACCTAGAGAACCCATAGGCGCTCAATTCAGGAATGTGTCGCAAATATCAGCGGCTTAATCAGCCACAAACCTTTGAACAAAGTAGAAATGCAGCGGGACAATAAGGGGATGCCAGCAGTACTCATTCAGACCAATTCAACAAGGCAACAAAACCCAACGAGATGAGTAAAAGCAAGCCGCAATGAAAACCCTAAACCCGAAGCCCTAAACCCCCAAACAGTCAGAAATAGGGAACCCTAAACGACATACTCTAAACCCTAAGCTTCTAAGCCCTAAACCGTAAACCGTCTGTAATTCTAGGGGCCCCTGAATGAAAATACACCTACTTTGTGGTTCATGGGTACCCCCTAATATGAGTCATAACTATATTTACCCTGCTTATAACCCCACTTAGGCCTACCCCTAAACCTCAAACAATAACCCTTACAGGGAACCCTACTACCCATGAACCTCCACCCAGTTTCTGGCACGCCCAGTCTGCCAAGACACGTACTCCACGAGAACGCGACAGGGAGGTCCCCAGTTCGCAAACAATATTTCCTCGGCGACGACAACAGAAAAAAAAATTAGGGTTTGTTTTTAGGGCTTGGGGAGTTTAGGGTTTAGGGTTCCTTGCCAAAAGCGAAACACTGCAACTCTCCCATATGCAAGAATCAAAGTTTGTCGAAAGGTGCGGTCAAGGGTCAAACATGCTGAGGAAGGTCCGTGTGAAGGTACCTTGCACGGGCTTCCAACCAAAAAGTAAGTAGGCTCCCACGGGGGCCTCGTGCGGTGTCCGGCAGTCCGACATGGCCCTCCCTGCATCCGGTGCTCCATCAAGGGCCCCAACCCAGCTAACCCCAACACAGATGACAAGTCCACGCATCGTCGGCCAGCAGAACCAAGAGCCGCAAGCCCAAGTAGGCGAAAGCCCTGAAGCCCCAGAAGGCGGGGGGCCGTAGTAGCGGAAGACCTCCTCGCGGTTGAAATCGGGATGGGTGTCGTCCTGCGGCCACACCCATGCAAGGACGACACGTCGCCCCTGGACACACAAAATGCACTTTCCCCTTGGAATCAGTCCGTAATGAAATCGCGGACCAGCGTAGAGACGACCATACCAGCAACACACCTGAGGATGATAAAAAGCGGCTTGGTGCAAGCACATCAACCGCTCCCCAATCCATAAACCCCGCTGCTTCCGGGTTTTGGGTTTAGGGCTTAGGGAATCCATTGCCTCAAAGCTCCCAAACTCTAAACCCTGAGCCCTCAACCCTAAACCCTAAAGCTTAGTCCCTAAATCCCTTTTTGAACCCAGGCTCTTTGCTATCAGCTCCCCCCTAAACCCCAAACCCTAAACCCCAATCCCCAAAGCCCTAAACCCGAAATCCTAAACCCTAAACCCCAAACCCTAAACCCTAATCCCCAAAGCCCTAAACCCNNCTAAACCCTAAACCCTGAGCCCTTCATGTTCACCCCGATTTTCAGCAGGTCGCTGCAGGAAGGTCAGCAGGCAGAAGCTCCAGAAGAGCATACCCCTGCGCTGGGCTGCTTCTTTGTTGGCAGTGGGGGTTTAGGGTTTAGGGTT